AAAATTAATATCGATAAAAATTTATTTGTTAGGTTGAAAAGCTTGAAAATTTAATTCAAGGTTCCTAACATATTGTTACAATAGAAGTTGAAAAATAAAATAAATTCATTGTCACAATTTTTTTTATAAGCACTGAAAGTTCGAATTTTGAAAAAATACGTAAAAATCACAAAAATTTGCAAATTATTTTAAGCTAGAAATTCATAAAAAAAATTATTTTTAAATCTAAGATTTGAAAATTTAATTCAAGATTCCTTATAAGTTTGTCTATCTTTATCAAAAAAAAAAAAACCTAGAAATTCTATGGTTAGGTTAGGTCTAGATATGGTTATTCTAGTAAGAAACCATCTACGCTCATAATCGTTTTTCGTATACAATATGATATAATATCAAATTTCTATGAAAGCAAATCCAATTTTTTTCTAGAATTTAAGATACGCAACAAGTTTATCAAAGTCATACAAATTTATATTTATACATAACAAAGGTAATTATTAGTGTGCTACTACAACAAAATGTGTAATAAATAATAATGGTCGTAGAATTTTGAGGCATAATAAAGGATCTTTGAATCGCAATACGCTGACCTCAGGTTTTATTATTTTCTCTAATACTCCGTTCAATTTTTAATCAAACAGTTTTAGCATCGCCCATCGCGTTAGGGGTGTGTAGTATGACAAATTTCCAGTGGAGCTTATGTTTTTGGTACGTATGTTATTTGCTAGCTTTATAATTTCCGGTCCAGTGAAACGCATCGTTCATTTATCGAGGATTATAACTTAAGACCCGAGGCTAGTCAAGGTTCTTACCTCACATCATGCCACCTATAACCGTCATATTATAAATTTTAATGATTTTAATGTTTAAGATTCTTTGTAGGAATACATTCTTACCACTATCCACTCATTGTCATCGATACATTGAATACATTTTTCCGATTTAGCTCTTGATGATTATGTGATATAGACTTGTTTGCACTGCTTAACCTATTTTAGTTGGTAATTAGTAATTACATACAATTGTGCTATTAAATTTATAATTTAAGCATAAAAATGATTTGCTTAAAAAACCTCCATATATTTTTGTAAAAAAATATTGTTAATGGCACCTTAATAGAGTAAATTTAACTAAATACATGCTTTAAGAGAACCTCACAACCACATGTGTTATCTCCGTCTTACAAGCGCGTAACATAGTAAATTTAACGCTTAGCAGTTCCAATTAAGCTCCGTTAGTTTAAAATTTATAGTGATGAATTAATTTTTTATAAAAATGAAAGGCAATATTATTATCTAGGTTACCACAAAGAATTTTTATTAAATTTTAAWGTGAGTTATGAGTATTTTAAAGATTGTATATTGTTTGTATATCTTAAAATACTCATAACTCGCTTTGAAATTAAAATATAATAAGAAGCTTTTGTGATAACATAAATAATAATATGGCGTTCTCTTATAAATAACTGCATTATCGCATTAAATTCTATCATTCGATACCGAAAAAAATACCATAATAATTCATAATTACTTGCAACATCCAATACACAATACTAGGCATTATGTACTACAGTGCTACTAATRCTAGTGTTTAATTTACAAAGGTACGTTATTTTTATTACTGAAGATCACCAGCAGATACAGTTATGCGTGTATATGGTAGATATATATATTATAGATACTAAATKGATTATTTGTAACTTCAAATTCATGTTGTTCAAACTTCGGGAACTTCCATCATTYAAATTATTRAATTATTGAGTTACATAACTATGTTTTTTTCATATCATTAAAATAATGTTTAAAGGTGAAGAATAGTATTCGTGTCATGAGGATGAATGTAACTACGGATCTTTGGAAATACACCAAAAATTCATTGGTGCTCCAACAAGATAATTTTACTACAAACGTAACAGCCCGATTGCAAAAATTTGAAGATGATTTGATATACGCAATTAAACGTAAAGGTTGGGATGGTGAAGAAGACACTAAAATACAACAATGGACCTTCACCGGGGCTTTATTTTATTCAATAATTGTTATCACAACTATAGGTGAGTACACATGAATATAGTTATTTAAATTATTTAATTTATATTTTTAACCCTACCTACAGTTTAAAAATTATTTTTAAATTTAGGCTGGTATATAGTTGTTAAGTTATAAACTAATACGTCTGCTTGTATACAAGTAGATTAATGATTTAAATTTAAATTAGAATTTTAGGGAAACTAGAAAAGTGTAATACCTAACTAAAAAAAAAAAGATAAAAATAAAAATAAAAATAAAAATGTAATTATAAAACATTAATTAATTAATTCATACAACTAAGGCTCCTGTCAATAGTTATATTAAAATGGTGTTTATAAATTAGGGCGAGTTAAAATTATGGGTTCTGTGTCGTTTTCTACTATTATAAGAGCTGGAGAATCTGATACCAGATATAGGTATTACAAAATATCTAAATTTGAGCTATTACCTTCCTTCTGATCGTCGGAGGGCTCTCGAGGTCGTAATTCGAGGATATAATCAAATACATGCAGGTAGTAATAAAATATTTATAAATTAACTATAAAAATTAATATAGATTTATTATAATGCTCAAGCACTTTATCATATTCGCAGCTGTATTTGTCTTATGCAGATGACTTAATAAGGTTAAAAAAAGTTTTAAACATTCAAATCGGAATAAATACAACACTGATAAATTTTCGTTAATAATGGAAAAAGTCAGTTGTCGCTTGCAGAATCCGATTTGGTTGATTTGGCTGGTGCTCTTGCACTCATGATGGGTTGGTGCTCATGCACTTGTAAAAGGTGCACATGCACTGATGAGAGGAGATGACGTGGTTAAGCCAGCCAGATTCATAGGCGGCTCCATCAAAGGCCTCTACTTTTCCAAAGATTTACCGTTATCGTTGGTGGCAGAGACCTTCATTGGACCATCTCTTGTTTTCGGTGACACATGAAATAGATCACACATGTGGCGCCACATTATCACAGCTACATATGAGTTCCTACGTGACCAGACAATGCAAATCGTTCCTTTCATCATTGAGTAAAGAATTTATTGGGTTTTAACGGTTATCTGCGTGCGACAACTTGACCGTTATTTATTTTATTGAATGTTTAAATAACTTATAAACATGATATGCGAGCATATCATTATAAAAGGGTCCATCTGTACCTATTATTTTTAAAATGTATTTAAGAACAAATTTGTATATGAATAAATTTTCTACATACTACATACTTGAGATATTATACARTTAAAACTAAAATATGAGTTTTTAAATTTATCCAACTAAATAATTGTTTGAACAAGTTTATTTAATTTGTTCTTGATATATTTCTATACATTCATTGATAATTAAATTTCTGTTAAATGCGTGAAAAGTTTACATTACTTGAATGGCTAACATAATATTGTGTCTTTCGTATTATTTTAACTAAGCAAACACAAAACTAATTTATGACGAGCCTAAATTGTTATCATAGGTTATGAAAATAAATATCCTGCACAGTTTTGTACTTAAATTAGAATTAGTTTCCATTTTAAGTAGCAAAATCAGTGATAATATATTATATTCCTATAT